CATTAGCACCTCTAGTAATATATTTACTGAGAAAAATGGTGACGTGTTCAATACTTATTTTACCCGCTGTAAACCCTGTTGTGTATGTGAGGCATTGATCAAATCTAATGTTAAACCAAGGTTGCCCAGTTCTGGCCATCTAGTGCTGGTATTCTGTGTGTTTTTRCTTGTTTTGCTACACCAACACACCTGATAGGGGCCCTCGAGGACCAGGATTGAACACCCCTTGAATGGACTTTTGCAAACACTTGTACACATGGACAATGTAGAAACAGTTGAGGAAATGATGTAACAAAGTAAATACCAGTTTGATGCAAAAGTGACATTGTGTAAAAACAAATTACGATGTAATGTTCAGATGAACCACTGGAAGTACTTGAGGTTTTAGTTGTTTTAGATGATAAATATTTTGCTGTTTTTGTCTACTTATAAAAACCTTCCCTCTAATTGTCCTCCTTCAGATTTAACTGTAACTAAACGGTCAGCTCGGTCTATAGTCATTTATAGGTTAATGCTGTAGGAGCAGATTGTCAATTTGATGTCTTTTTAGTTTATCATTTATTATTTTTGCAAGTGACAGTGGATGGTTAGGTATTTTTAACGAAGTACCCATCCTCAGTCCAAAATCAGTACACAGTCCTGTAGCCACATGTTTTAACAAAAWTCTCACATTTGGAAGTAGTTTTGATTTATAAGCTAAGCACGTCAGATTCTGGTCTGATTTTATTGTTGTCGATTCAAATTTTTATGGTGTAAAAGAGGCATTTATTATAAGTCATCTGGAACCTTTCCTGACCACCTGTACTCTGTGCGAACATGTTTGCTTTTCCCGAGGTCTCATAAAGCCGTCTTCAGAAAATGAGAGTAGTGTGAACTGACTGTGTTGTCAGCTCAGCTGCAAGTGCCATTCGGGACTGAGTCAGTGTAAAAATTTTTTTTATTTTATTTATTTTTTTACAAAACACTTAAAGTTAGTTTTTTAGCTGATTGTGTCCATGTGTTTTTGGTATCTGGACATGTTTGTAATGTTACACAAGAGTTGAGCCACTTTGTTTTTATCTCGTGTTTGGTACTGTAAGAATGTAGAGGATATCTATCATCATAAAAACATGCAAAATAGCCCCACGAAGCCTCAGTTGTGCAATAACCAAAGCCATATGGAGGAGTGTGTGGGGCAACTTGAATGTGGCTAAAATGACAGTCCTGAAATTTTAGACTGAAAGTGAGATCTTAAATGTAAACAGCAAGTAACAAATTAGCATATTTGGCTGTATTCTTTGCCACACTTTTGCAACTTTGATGTAAAAACGTGACAAATAACTTTTTTTGTATCCCGAGTGTGGCTTATTCGTTCATGGTCACAGATGGCAGCATTGGTAGACGTAATGAAGTAAACGTGAAGGATCTGACAAAGGYTCAGCAAAGAAAAGAGATGGTGCTCTGCTAAGTTGTAACTGAGAACATGTTTACTTGTGATCCTGTAAAAAGGAAACTAATTATTAATGATAAATTTATCATCAAAACATGACGAATAGCATTGTTTATGTCTCATTAATTAACAAACAAAAGGTTTCTGTTTTTCTGTCAAACATAAAGCATCATCTTTTTATTCAGCAGTAAAAACATTTTCCTCTGAGAGATCCATGAAAAATCATCAACAAGGTATTTCTTGGAATTTTCTTCAAATTCAAATTGATGAATAAGTTTTGGTCAAAGCTGAGACCTTTTCTTTCAAAGAAATCCCGCTTTTCTTTGAAGTAGAAACTCATTTCTTTACAAATTACCAGTGAAATGACTGTTCTGTCTGTTCTCACACACACACAAAGCAGATTAACTGGAAATTGTATTGTAGTGCCTCATCAACATCAGCTGTAATAACAAAGCTGGATTTTAGATGACGTCAATACATAAGGCTAGTTAAGGATGAAAAATTGGTGTCCGTTGACAAATATGTACCTTTTTTTTTTTTGTCTAAAATATTTTCAGGACTCCCAGAAGGGACTTCTATTATCAGAACCTGACTGCTCACACTTTTTGTCCACACTAAAGGAGAGATCACWCATATTTTATATTTTGCTGAACTGCAACATGATTTAGAGTTTATATAGCTGTGACTTTAAAACTTTTCAGTCTACAACACACAAAACAACGGTGGCAGAAACTTGTGACCTTCAAGTGTTGCAGGTTTATTCTACAAACATGATAACTGTGTTTCATAAACCAGGTCATATGGCATCGTATCTCTTGTAACAAATACGTTGAAAGTTCAGTACTTAATTGTTTCCTGTGAGAATTCAAACTTTTTTCATTATAGGCCACTTAACATTGGCATCATTCCAGCATAAAAAGGCTTCTAAACTCAAGTAAAGAACCTCTTTTTTTTCTTTTACACTACACCWAAATTAATTTTAAATCGGTTTTTAGGCTATTTGTTACCAGCAACACAATTTGTTCTTAGTTTTTTTGACAAATCTATTAATAATCCTGAATATATCAGGTTAGTTTGTTAAAGACATGGATTTTAGGTCTTCTTTGGATAATCATTTATTTATTTATTGATTTTTATTTTTTACATTTCTTTTTATCCTGTACTTGTCTATGTTCCTCATTTTAAGGCACATATTGCACAATATGCTGTCATGGTCAGGTATAAGGATGGATAAGGTTGATTTAAAGCTACAATTATATCAAAATATCCCAGACTACAGTTTGTGTTGGTGTCAGGAGCTTTCTTTTTAAAGATTTAAACCTAACATTGCATATATATATTTTTTATTCTACCTTCAGTCCAAGCAGAAGGATGGGCGCGATCAGAGCGAGGCGTCGGCCCCCATCTCTCCTGGGGGAGAGGAGGAGCCGTTCTGCTGGCCGGGGCCGAAGACGCTCCAGCTGCGACGGACCTCCCAGGGCTTTGGCTTCACGCTGCGCCACTTCATCGTCTACCCACCTGAGTCTGCCGTTCACAACTCGATAAAGGTAACAGAAAATGACCTTTTGTTTCTCCAARCACACTGGTGACATATGAAAGTTTGAACCTGTGTGACTTTCTTAGTAAAGTCTGAGCTTTCTTTTGGGGTTGTGGAGTCTTTTGGTTTTGGTGTCAGGAACTACTCAACTGTTTGTGATGGAAAACTGAATATTAGCTTTTAGTTGTTGCATAAATAGAAAAAAAAAACATCAGATTTGACTGACATAATGGAAGCCAGTATTTTAAAAATAAAATTGAGAAAGAATATCTTATTCTGAATTTGGAGTTAACTACAGCTTTCAGGTGACTATGACATTTCAACTTTACAAACAAAATGAAAAACTGTCTGATTTTCCAGAAGCTATATTTTTTTCCATCTCTTTGCAGCCCCTCTGTTTCCATTGAGCAACAGTTGTGAGGTGAGAGGGAGCCTTTTTGTTCCCTCCTCAACTCTGCAAGATAATGTTGCAAGACATATTTYTATGTGAAATGCTATACAATTAAAGGTTTGAATTGAATCCATAAATGTGATGCAGGTGTGAAAAACGCTATGAATGGGGTTGTAAGATTGCATTTTTGACTTTCATCATAATTTCGAGCCCTGYCAGCTCTTTTTAGGATGAAAGCTTCATTCTGCTTTTTGCTTGTTATCCTGACTGAGCAGCACTTCTGGCTCTGAATGGGCACAGACTAAGTCTGGGTGCATAACAACTGCACTCCCTGAAGAGAAGGGGAAAAAAATGCTGGTGTTTTGATCCAGCTTTCTGAAAGCTTATCAAAGCCTGCTCAGATTAGTTTTTGTAAGTGATAATTCCAGATAAGTCAGGTTTACGTTTATCTGAAGTGTATTTGGTTAACCTCGTGTGTTTGCACAGAAAGATTTCCTACAAAGTTAGCGTAGTACGTTCCGTTTGTAGCTTTTGGCTTCGGCTCTGCATGTTGAAAGGGAAACTGTGGCACGACAGGGTTTTCAGACATTTGTGTAATCAGAGAGATAGACGTTTTCTCCCGGAGGTCTTCTTGGGTATCACAGGGTTGTTTTGGGAACCTTTCGGCCCACTTAGTTTCTGTTGATATTGCTCAATTCTGTTTATGTCAACTGTCATTAAAATAAGTTTGCATCTATTAATGCAGTAAACATATTTCTCTTATTGGCAGCCAAACATTTAGCAACTTTGTGGCTTTTTGATGAGTATTTAGCCTCTGTAGCAGAGACTCAAAGACTAAGTTTGAGCTTGATCAACCCCAGTTTATACCTGCACCTTTTTATTTTCCTTTCAGCTCAACTGACAATTGGAGGCTTGTTTAGAAAGAAAATTGCTCTGCACACTTGTCACTTCTTGTTGTAATTACTCCTCAAAGTTTTCAATCATGAGCTTTTGATTAATCAGTATTTTAGGATTTGGGGTTTAGCTCTTAGAGGTTCAGACTTAAAGAAATCTTTGGAGGAGCAGCAAGTCTTAAAGCGTACATGGAGAACACATTCATCACTGAGCTGTGTGTGTAGTTGGGGTGGATTAAAGTCTTTGTATCTAAGAGGGAAATGAAAGATTTAAAAGTTTAAAAAGGTAGAAAAAAAAAACTACCCAAACATGCCTGTAATATGGCATTTTTTCCGTAACTTGCGTGTTTGGTTTGTTAATTGCGAGGCAAGTTTCATTAAAATGTTTTGTAATTTTAGAAAAAGACATATTTATTAGCTGCCTTTTATAATTAGGTGGTAAAATAATTAGTCTAAATTACTGACAGACTCATTTCTTTGGTTCATTGTATTGCATTGCATTATACCTTAAGGGGATAAATCAATACCATATGAAATACATTGTATAATGATTTAGCACACATGGTTGGAATAAATCAGAAGTCACTGTTTAATATTGGTAGAAAACAGGCAAACTTTTATTAAAACTAGTTTTACAGTATATTTGATAGGAGCTATGTTATTTTTTGTCATGCAAGTGTTTTTGTATTCTAAAGCTACCTGATGAAAATAACTCAAACATGAAGTATGATAACAGCTGCTGCTCAAATCCATATGTTCATGTTTTTTATGAGGCAACTGTCACTGTCAGTTTGATAAGCTATAATCATAAGGTTTTAAATTTAATTTTAAGAGGCTTAAAACATAATTATTTTGTAATGGTGATTATGATTATTTTTCTTGGAAATAAATTTGTTTTTTATTTTCATTAGCACTTAAGTTGCCATTTTAAAACTGTTTTGGGAAATATATCAGATGAAAAAATGATCTTGACATATTTTGTGACAGGAAATCTCATTTTCTCTTTTCTTTTCTTTTAGGATGATGAAAATGGCAGCAGAGGTGAGTCTGGAAACACTGATGTTTGTTTGCTGCATGTGTTTTAGGTGTTGGAACCRTCTGTGTTGCAATGAGAAGAAACACAAACTATTTACTCTAAGCTCTCTTTTGTTGCTCCAATGAATGAACGTGGGAGCAGYAGTTCCCCTTTGTCTCAGTTTGAACGCTGGGAATCCAAATTGAGTTTAATTATCTCAGTTTTCACCCTGTAATAGTTTAAACCTCTATAAAAACAACATGAAGTTGTCTTGTATGCATGCCGTCAGGTTGAGAGGTGGCACTGTGGTGCATTTTTGCAGTTTGGACCCTTTGATCCTTAGCCTGGCAGCCCTTGCGGCCTGTCCTGTTTGCTTGGCAGGGCCACAGCATTCCTCGGAGCATCCGACTTGTCATTCCAGGCCGTCGGTATGCAGCTCACGTCTGCAGCCCAGCGTGACTGCAGCAGGACTGCTCTGATGCTCCTCATCAAAGGCCTCCAAACAGCCCCTGCATCACATCTTTTGTCTGCATGTACATCACATGTGCACAAGAAGCGCTGATACATGTGCTTCCATAACCGTGCGCAGACAGAGCTTTAACTGTGTGGTCCTGCAGGGAAAAAAAAATTACTCGCATTTTTCTCAAGTTGTCTCACTTTTTTGTGTTTAATGTGCCTGAGTTTATGTAGGTTTCTGATGTTCTGTTTCCAAGTAAAATGAAAGGCCAGTTATTTCTTAGAAATAATTGTGCTGAAAGGAAAAGAAAGAAAGAAAGAAAGAAAAGGGGGAAAAAACATCATTAATTTTTTGTTTGTCTTGTAATGATCCCAACACCCCACCAGGGGGGCTGTTGCGGTGATTATTACGTCAAAAGGAGGCAGTGAAAGTGAAAAAYCCAAATTGAAAGGAGGGTGAGAGGAGGCTTTGTGATAAATCTGACTCCTAAATATTCTCAACGGGAAATTGAGAGATTCCTGTAAGAGTCCCTCATCATCCCTGTTGGCCTGTGGTCACATTCCTCTTTTTTTATCCCCTCCTTTCCGTTTTAACTCCTCCTTGTCCTCCCTTTTCATTCAGCACAGCCCAAAACCCATTAAACAATGCACAGATGGGACTCTGCTGTGAAAGAGAAAAGCCTTCAGGGAATCGGTGCGTGYACATTCTTACTTGGTGGTTTGACGCAGCTTATAAAGGTGTTTTTTTTTTCTTTGACTCCTTCTGAAAGCAGTGATGTAAAACTCATGTGTGACTGAGTTATTGTTCATTTAAACCTGCATGACATCTGCATCAGAACATTTACTCCTATTCTCTGATGATGGAGAACCACGATTCTCGCCTTCAGAGGACCCCCCAACCATCCTCCTGCTGCTACAGGAAGTGTCTTGGCTCATTTCCAGACTCTCCTAAATTCTTCCCGCCTCTCAGTGGGCTCTGAGATTCAGCCGTGGTGATGATGCTGACAAGTAGCTTAGCAGGATGTCAGAAACCGATATCAGGAATGTCAGGAATTTCCCAACGGGGCCACAGTGGAGGTCGAATTAATCAAATAGAAACGTATTGTTGAAATAAGAGCCAACATATCCAGTGTATGCTAAAGAGGCAAAATCAAAGTTTATTTTTAAAAGTATCGAAGGAGTAAAACACTAACTTTTTTTATAAGTTGAGTTTTATAAACTTGGGTATGAAGCTGTATGTGATGAACATTAATGGATGTTGAAATTAAAATTATTTTAATGTTGTAAATCATGCATTATTAGTAAAAGGCTAAATTAAAGTGTGTGCAAGGTTTTGACCAAAACAAAGGTTAATCGAGAAATAAATTTCCAAAATGTTTCTGGTAGGGCTGGGCAATAAATTAGTTACAATAWACATTGCAATTGACAGGTGATCAATATAAATAGAAAATACGTCCAATAGAAGGTTGATAATTTCACTGAGATCTGACCCAAGTGATGATGGAATCAGGGGAGAAAAATGGTGTATAAAAAACAGACAAACAAAAACTGGATTGTTGTTCTGGTTATTAAGCCACAAAGTAATAATAAAATCCTCTCTTTGAAAAGCAAATGTAAAAATCWGTTTTTCTCACCAAAAATGACTGTTTGCATTTCAATGAGGGATATGAAACAGCTAGCCTGTTAAAAAAAAAAACAGCCCCTTGTTCTTTGCTTTGCTTCATACAGAGGGTCTGGACTCTCATCTATTGAAAAACAATAGTTTGCTGTTGAAGTTTAAAACCATTGGATCTTATTTTACCCAGTCACTAATGTTTGGCCGTGACGTATGTAGTGCGCCAGCTTGACCATGATGGAAGCTAAGCTAAGAAGCTAACCGGAAATTGCGTGCGCTGTAAACAACCATCCCCTACTTGAAAGTATGGAGCCAAATGAGACAGCTGTAAATGAGAGCTACAGGCTTTGTGAGACAATTTTAATTTGGAAGCCTTGTCAACACGGACTGGTTTCATTCACTTCCCCTGCTGCCATTGCTAAACTACTAGCAGTCTAAAACAGCGCTGAAAATCGACATTGTCTTTCAAAACTCCTCCTTCTGTTTGCTGATTGATTGACCCGGTTGAAATTGTAAATACCGGAGATATCCAAGTCATTGGGACCGAGCAGAGAAGGGAGATTGGAAATGAGCGGAATTTCGTAGGAAGGCAATGGCCAACCTAAAAAAAAAACTGAGAAAATGACAGTTTTGCAAAGTTTGACTTATTATGGACTAGGGATGTCCCAATCCAGATTTTTTGGCTCCCGATTCAATCCGATTTTTAAAATTAGACTTTCCGATCCGATAGCTTTATTTCTTTATTTCTTTCCAAGTGACAAGGTTGGTAGTATTAAAGCGAGCCTTGCTGTTCCCACCACGAGAAACATCCAGTTTGCAGTTTCAGCATCATTGTTTTCCATTGAAAAGTGTTCCCACACTGTGGACATGGTTTCATACTTGTGTGCATCTTGACTTCTTAAGGGCAGTTGTAAAACATGATGATACTGAAAACTGTCGCGAAAACTGGATCGGCCYGATCGCATGACTAAATCCCATTCTACCCGATTTTCAAAAAATRGCCTTATCTGCCACTGATACTGATAGTGAGTATCTGATCGGGACATCCCTATTATTGACCAGACTCAAGTTTTCAATGAGTTCTATGAGTTGTTAAATAACAAAATAGGTTGTTTAAGTTATAAGTACCATTTGCTTTGTTTTACTTTATAAGAGGACCAACAGTTAGAGCTACAAGAAGATGACGTGTGTCATGACTCCAAGCATTTTGGTTTTAGTCTTCCTGGTTTGTACTAATTATTATCATTGCTTTGAAACAAGCATTTGCACTGCTGGCCTGTAATGATAGCAAATAGCGTAAGCTCCAGAACACTCGTAACATAGTTGAAGAACCACGTGAAGCCTCACACACAACATCTCTCACAAATCCAGACAGATAATGCGAGCCATGTGCTGCTCGAGTCTGTGGAGTTCATCGCAGCCTCCCCGACGTGCTGCAGAGCCGTTTATTTGCTTGACTCTCGGCCTCTGTGTGTGACGAGGCTGTTGGTGTTTGGAGAGGAGGGGGTCGGGGTCGTGTGACCGCATGTTGACTAGCTGGGTGTTGCCTGCTGGATTCGCTTCAAACCTCCAGAAAACGCACACACTCGCAAACTCGCACACTTTGATGAAGATGCAGACAAATATTTATGTGCAGCATGTCGATACAAATTAAACGCTTAAAAACAAACTTTTTTTATAGTTTTTGTCTCAATTTTGGACGAGTTTATTTGCTTTCACAGCAGTTGTATACATACCAAGCGACTGTTATCCCAAATCTTCCTCTTTATCTCACTTCCTCTTGTCTCCCCTCCCTGATCTGTTGGTCTGTCTCAGTCCTTTTGTGTATTTTATCAGGTTGTTGAAGGGCAAAATCCAAATCAGACATTTTGTGCGATGCTTGTGGAACTACATAATAAATTCTCCATCTGTTCAAATATTTGTTTTCCTTTCAACATGAGCCTCTTCTCTGTGGATACCAACTTTATTTCCTCTCTCTGCTTTTTTTATGTTTTTTGGTCAGATTTCAGTGCGTTCCCATAAAACCTGCAGAGGGAATGTGATGCAGCACAAGCAAACAAAATTCCTGTTTTCTCCAGTGAGCCTTTTAAAACCACACCTTCTTTAATAATGTTCTGTCCAAAGATTTTTTTTCCTATTATCTCAGTCTCACTGTTTTACTCTCTTTTTTCTTGCTGACTTAATGTTCTAAGTGACTTCTTACAGTTTCAAGTTTCCTCATTAAGCTTGGCTTTTGGCTTCACAACTCATTTATTTTTTGAGCATATTTCCATTTCTTTTTTGGGGATTATGTAGAGTAGGGCTGCATGATATCAAGAAAATCTTTGTTGTGCGATTACATTGCTTAATATGGTGATGACGGTATGACTTGCGATAAAAAAATAAATTAATATAGTGTTGATGTTTTTCTGCTCTGGGTTCAGAGCAAAAAACAACTAATACATAATTTCCATTACAACATGATGGATCGACTATGATTTTGTATTGTTTCCCTGGTCCATTTTGTTTATCAGACTGATGGTGATAAACCACATAAATGCAAACATTGGAACCAATCATTTATTGCAATTTATGCATTTTTTGTGATATGTGTATTGGCTGTTATCTCGATAACGATAAATTTGCGATATATTGTGCAGCCCTAATGTAGAGTTTTCATTGGTTTTTACACAAAAATCCATGTGTCCTCGTGATTATTTATAAAATTTTAACAACTTGTTTATACAGAATACATGAATGAGGATCAGCACCCTCAAATCTGAGGCCGTGGTTTTCACTTGGAAAAGGGTGCTCTCTGAGTTGGGGGTGAGGTGCTGCTTCAGGTCAAGGAGTGTTGTTCACAAGTGAGGGAAATATTTTCACACCTTAGCTTGTTGTCTTAGATTTAAGCATGATATGCTAATCCTGTGTTTCAGTAAGAACAGCAATAATTTTGCTCTGAATCACATCATTAAA